ACCGGCCCTCCCCGGTGGAACTGTCCCCAGCCCGAGGCCACTGCCTCCCTGGCTCTGCTGGTGGTCCTGGTGGGCCTTTTCCTCCTCGGTGCCTGGGTGTTCTGCCTCCTGAGGAAAGGCCGGAGGGCTGCGGGATGTGCAGGACTGGAGAGCAACAGGGTGGGAGTGTCCCAGCCCCACCCCAAAGGACAGGGGCCAGCCGAGGAGAGGCCACCTGACAGCATCACCAAAGTGTAGCCCAGAGCTGCAGCCATCGATCAGAACTCTAATTATTATTATTAATAATATTAATATTAATAATATTATTGTGGTTGAAGTCTCGCTGGTTACCTGCGTGATTTGTGAACCCAGTGACAGGAGCGTGGTGGGTGCTGGGCTCTGAGCCACCTCCTCTTCTCCAGAAGGGTCATTCCCTGTCCTCTGTGATCCCTGCCAGAAATTAAATATGGCATTTGGGGTGCCATCACACATTCCCATCTCTCAGCACAGGAAAAGAACTGCTGCCAGGGCACCCCCTTTCCTCCACATCACACTCAGCTGGATGGGAATTGTCTCCATTGGGGCCACCTGGCTGTTTCCCAGCTAGCCCAGCAGCCCCTTGGAAAAGATTTAATAGCTCTGCTAACACCCTGCTGCTGCTCCTGAAGAATTCCCTAATCCAGGAAGGAGCAGGAGGGAATGGGAATGGTGCCTGGTGGTGGCTCACAGTGCTGGGGTGGGGAGGGGGTTTCTGTGCCCACCTCTGCTGCCTTTCCTTGCTGTGGATGCTGGGAGGAATTCCACCCTGTCCTCACCCACTGGGACGGTGGGAATGGGAGAAGTGGGGCTCTGTGCTGTCCCTGCTGGCACAAGGTGTCCCACCCTCAGTGCCAGGACCCCCGAGGTGACGGTGGCAGAGACAGCTGGTCCCAGCACGAGGTAAGTGCTGCCCAAATTGTGGCCCTGGGTGGATTTGGCACGCTCTGAGCACCCCCCAAAGCCAGGGGTGATCCAGGGGCTCAGACCCCAGCATGGCAAGGCAGCAGGAGGAGGTGTTGAGTGGGATTGTCACTGTGTGCTGGTGTCCATCTCCCCCTTGAGTGATCTGTCCAGCTTCCCTGGGCCGAGTGGGAGCACCTGAAGGGTCGGGCCAACTCCAGGAAATACAAAACTGAGGCTGCAGTGAAACCTTTAACGTTTCACATCCATTTGGTTCTACCTTGGAAGTCCCCAGCTGGGCCCAGTCACCTCCACACACCTGGTGGGTTGGAGCTGTGGGGGCAAAAGGGCTTGGAAGTTACTTAAAATCCCAATTGCTTCATTTTCTTCCTTTTTTTTTTTTTTTTTTTTTTTTTTTTTTTTATCATGGTTTTACTGGGAAGCAGAAAGGGCATNTGCACGGGGATGTTTCCTGCTCTGCCTGCTCCCGTCCATCCTCAGAGCCCGGGCTAGCCCCGAGACCAGGCCCAGCTCCCCCCTGTGCCAGCAGGTAAGGCTGTTTTCCAAGGAGCACCTGGGCTGGGATGGCTCCAGCAGCGTAGCTGGGGCTGCCAGCATCGCCCTGGGTCTCCTCCTTGTGGCTCTCACCTCCCTCCAGCCCCCATCTCTTTAACTTTCCCAGCTTTTCCTCTGTTTTCCTGCCTTGGAGCTGGTTTCCTGTGAGGTGGTCCCCAGCATCCAGCTGCTCCCACGTCCCTGCCATGCCTGAGGTGCTCAGAGGATGGAGTGCAGGGATTCCAGTGAGGCAGCTGGGAGCCTGAATGGGGATCAGCAGGTTTCTGTCTCCCCAGAAAAACATCAGCTGCTCCCATCCAGGTTTCCAACTCCAGAGGAAACTGGAGCGAGAGGAGAGGTGGAGCCTACACATTGCCCTTCTTCTGCCTAGACAGGGATGCTCTGGACCAGCTGGGCTTGGGAAGGGGGAGCAGTGCTCATTCCCACTTCTCATGCCCATCTTGGACAGCAGCTGGCCTGCCTGGAGCTGTGGTTTGTAGCCCCCTCCTCATTCACACCTCTCCTGTCTCTCCACAGAGCCCCACGAAGGTGTCTTGCAAAGGAGTCGGCCTGCAGAAATTTCCCAAGGAGCTTGGCAAAGGAATTAAGTACCTTGAACTCTCCAACAACTTCATCCAAAACCTGTCAGGCAGCAACATGCCAGGATTTGGGCAGCTGGAGTACCTGGATGTGTGCTTCAACCAGCTGGAATCCGTGTCAGCCGCCGCCCTGGCTGAGCTGCCTCAGCTGCGCTCGCTGCTCCTGGGCTCAAACCACCTGGACCGGAATTACTTGGCTAACGGGGAAGCTTTCCATCTGCTCAGGAATATAGAGGTCCTGGACCTGTCTGTGAATAACCTGGAGAGCCACATGGCCAGCTGGTACATCAGCAACCTCACCAGCCTGAGGGTGCTGGATCTCTCTGGGAACATGATGACCAAGCTGCAGGCAGGGACCTTCCGGAGCTCACCGCAGCTGCGCCAGCTCGACCTCAGCCACAACTACATCAGGGAGATCCAGGAGGGAACTTTTGAGCCTCTGGAAGAGCTGGAAGTGCTGAACTTGGCTTTGAATTCCCTCCACTGTATCTCTGGCTTCAGCCTCACACAGCTGCAAGTTTTAAACCTCAGCCACAACACCCTGGAGCTCTTCTCCGAGGAGGAGGGAGCGGAGCCCTACCTGCTCCGAGTGCTCGACTTGAGCCATAACAGACTCCTCTCTTTCCCAGAGCTCCCCAGAGCCCATGATCTCACACACTTAAACCTCTCCAACAACCTCATTTCTTCCCTGCTCCCAGGCTCACCCCATCCCTGGGAGTTTGTCCTGCCCTACAAGGAGATGCAGAGGTTCAACAGGACTGTGCGTCCTGTGGCCGCTCTGACACACGTGGCTGACCTGGATCTCAGCAATAACCGCCTGAAGCTGTTCCCATTTTCCTTCTTCCACAGCCTGGGCTCCCTGCACAGCCTCAGCCTGGCAAGGAACTGCCTCCAGGACGTGGCTAGGGAGTCTGTCACCAATGGCACGGAGCTGTCTGTGCGCTCGCTGGACCTCCACAGCAACGCGCTCCGTGTGCTGCCACGCTGGTTCTTCGATTCCCTGCCTCACCTGGAATCCATGAATCTGGGCTCCAACAGCTTCCAGCCTTGTGAGAGCCAGGGGAGTGACCAGGGAAGGGATTTCCAAGGGGATTCTCACACGTCAGCCCCCGGAGACACCTGCACCCCCTTCTACAACGTGCCTCACTTGAAGCACCTGAGCCTGTCCAAGAACAACATCTCCAGGCTGCACCCCCATGCCTTCAGTGGGACCCCACTGCTCTCCCTGGACCTGTCAGCAAACAGGGACTTGTCCATGCCCACGGGAGCGCTGGCAGGGCTGGAGCTGTCCCTGCAGGAGCTCTCTCTGAGGGACAACCAGATGGACGAGGCAGCGCTGCCCTGCCTGGGCACGCTCCGAGTGCTGGACCTGTCGGGCAACCACCTGAGCCTGCTGCCCACGGGGCTTTCCTGCTCCCCTCTGCAGAGCCTGGACGTTCGGAATAACAACCTGCAGGCCTTGGGAGCGGTCAGGAGCTGGTCCCACAGCCTGAGGGCCGTGTCTGTGGCTGGCAACCCCTGGAGCTGCTGCTCGCTG